ATAAAACGTATACCCGTGATAGTATTTTTCTCGTACAAAAATAACTAGAATAAATTAAATTACTCATAAAAAAATAAAAAAATAATTAAATAATTTATATTTTATATGATAATAATAAAACATTTTATAAAAAAACAGATTCAATAAATATAAGTATATATATAACATGTACTTATATTTATTGAATCTGTTTTTTAATAAAATGTTTTATAAGCTTAGAAAACTTGACTTCGACGTAACTAGCAAATTTTATTTAATTATTTCACGACGGTTTGACGTAATAAAATGTTTTATTATTATATAAAATATAAGTTTAAATTCTTTAATTAATTTTTAATCTTTTATGATTAATTTAATTTACTCTAATTATTTTTGTACGAGAAAAATACTATCATGGGTATACGTTTTATAATTAATTTAATATATTTGTGTTTAAAAATTATATTTGACCTTTAATTTTAATTTTTATTTTATTAAAATTAATAATTAACATATATACTAAATTGCGAATTATATGGATGAAAAAAATCCCCATTATGTGTGTAAGAGATTTCGGAACTCTTTGCTAAAAAATAATTAAAATTAAAAGTCAAATATAATTTTTAAACACTTTAATATTATTAAGAATATATAATTCGGTTCCCGAAATATATTAATTCATTATAAAACGTGATATTATTTTTCTCATATAAAAATGACTAGAATAAATTAAATTAATTATTAAAAAACTAAAAAGTAATTAAACGACTTAGACTTAGATGATAATAATAATGAAACATTTTATTAAAAAAAGATTCAATAACTAGTAGGTCAAGTTATAATTTTTTATTTATTTATTTATAACATTATGAGCTATTAAGCTCATCATCTCGTTCGCTCTCTGTCTTGCTTTCATTCGGCAAGTCACAAACGATATATGATACTCGTATGTTCCTACTTCAACTCTCGAGAATCTGAAACAAACGAAACTCGTGTCCAATATACAGGGTGTCCGGTAACTAACAGACCAATGATTACAAATGGATTCTTTGGTCAATTTGGGAACGATTTTTCCTCAGCGAAAATGTCGAAAAAGGTCATCATTTTTTACAACTTTCCAATCTTTGTCATTATATATCTTTATAACTAAGCCTTAAATTAAAATTTTATTATAGTAAACTCTACCTGAAATTAACTGAAGAATGTAATTATGTTAGACTTTTAACTCCAAAACGTTTAGTTTTCAAAAAACCTATTTTTTTCAATCGCTTATAACTCGAAAATTATTGACTTCTCTAACATTTTTGCTAAGGAAAAATCGTCTCCAAATTGGCCAGAGAATCCGCCCTTAATCATTGGTCCGTTAGTTACCGGACACCCTGTATATATTATATAAAAGTGTATAGCACGTCAGAAGCTTGTGAGCTTACAGCGATAAGTAAAAACAATTGCGTATCTATTTCATTGCGTTTATCTGTTTAAACGCGCGCTTTAATTTTTCCAACGTTTTTGCCTGTTTATATTTTAAAGGTCCTCTCTTCTAAAAATCTTGTTTTAAAGATCCTCTCCGCGAGCAAAATTCGAAAACATAAATTATTTAATATTTTTACTTTATTATTTGTAAATCCTCGGTAATTTCAAAATTTTTCTATTTGAAAATTATTAATTTTCTATTGCCAATTAATTTTATCACAGACTTTACTCTTACTCCCATTGCACTTTCGTTTGCGGTTTTCAGTATACGATTTTTTATCGTAGTTACTGAAAATTATTATTGTGAATTATACTTGTGCAGTGATTTGAAGAATTTACAATTTCGTTGAAATTGTTGATTCTTCAAAAAAATTACGAGATTCGCGGAAATTGCGTGCTTTCTTGGCATTTTCCGTTCGCGGCAGGCGGTTTATTTTTGATTGTTGCAAGTGTTTTTTTTTTTTTTTTAAAATAGATAATAATAATGTGAAATAAATCACGATATTTGACAGATGTGCATATATATAGAAATTGTAATAATAATAATATTATATCATAAAATTGTAAATTGTTTCAATTTTTTATAGACTGCGATAAAAGATTTTACATTTGGATAAGAAACTGCGGTAAGTAAAAATATAAAATTCTTGAAAACGTACCAAAAATATTTGATAACGTAAAAAGGTGAACTTTGAAAAATAAGGAACTTAAAAATTGCACTAATAAATGGGCTATATGTGAGCCGTGCGCGGATGTAAGGTGTGTTATATCGAAATTTAATTAATAGAATTGAGAATTAATCCCAATTTTAAGTCTTACAAATGTCCAAGCTAATTTTTTGTACCTCGTGTACATTTTTGAAAGTTATATCGAAAAATTAAATTTCAATATGCGTCTTACATCTCACATTTCGCATACGGCTCACATATAGCCTATTTATCTCTTATACTTTATTTCAACCCTTATAGAAATTTATTACTAGTAACGCCAATTTATCACTTATTTCGAGTAATTAATCACTTTTATTTCGAATACTTAAATTACTGTATATTATAGTATTTTAAATACTCAAAATAAGTGATTAATTGGCGTAGTGATAAATTTCTACAAGAGAATAAGGAGCCTTTAAATTCTTAATGTAAAAAATTTCAAGTAATTTTCTTTAATAAAATTTAATTAAAAAATTTAATTAAAAAATTTTGAACACTGTGTTATATCACATTTAAAATCGTGATTATTTCAATAAAAAAACATTTTATGTGTAAAAAATATATTTTTTATATTTAATAAATTTTATATATATATATGCATATATGTAAAATATTCTCTCTCTCTCTCTCTCTCTCTCTCTCTCACACACACACACACACACACACACACACAACGGGGGCCAAATCTCTCAAATTGGTCTCATGATCAATTAGCCTGGATTCGCACCAGGGGCAAAGTCTGTTGGTAATGTCAAACGAATTTAGCCTGGACTTGCACCAGGGGCAAAGTCTTTTGGTCGAGTCTACGAAATTTAGCACGGACTCGAACCAGGGGCAAAGTCTTTTGGTTCAAGTCTACGAAATTTAGCACGGACTCGAACCAGGGGCAAAGTGTGTCGGTAAGGGGCAAAGTCTATCGCACGAAGATGGCGGTCTCTTCTTTAGGCAGGCCTTTGGCGATCTGTCTATTAATCTGTGGTTTGAGAAACCTTTTGTTGCTGCAGAGAGAAGGATGAGAGTGGTCATCCCCTCGATTTAGCTGCAACCGGAATTCAAAGCGCCTCTATGTGCACAAAACGTGCACATTGAACTACGTAGTCATGTGCACGATGCTCCCGAGTGGTAACAGGCTATGTGCACGGTACGTGGTTCGATTCCGTGCTATGTGCACAGATGAGCGCCAGTAACACGTAGCTGTTAAAGGAGATGAGTTCGAGACCTCGCAGGGCCAATTTTTTTTTTTTTTTTTTAGTACGACTATATTTGTCAATTTAATGAAATCCTTTTAATTATTGTGGAATAAAGAGATAAAATGCATTTCTCAAGCGTACGCGAGAAAATCGAAATCAAAAATAATGAGTGCCGTATAAATACGTATGGAATAGAGCGTTATATCGAAGAGCGTGTGGCGTAGCGTTAAGGGGCTAGACACGTACCGTCGAGATTAGAGGTTCGATTCTCAAGGAGTGACTTTTTTTTAATATTTTTTTATTTTAAATAAAATTTTTTTTTACCATAAAATGTAATTTTTACACAAAATAAATGTAAATAACACGATTTATTTACTTATAACACGTATATTACAAAAATGCATTTTTCTTTGCCTCAAAAACCGTGAAAAGCCGTCTGTAGAATAGCTGTATGCGATAGGAACTTGTATGATTATCTGTTTAATTAAAAATTATCCGATTTATGTCGTGTTTGGTGTCGTTGAAATCGCAAAAATCTCAATAATCCATTAATATTATTTTTGAATAGATAAAATGCAAAATAAAGGTTTAGTTTTTCACTTATAAGATGTTTATATTTGTGAATTGCCATGGATGGGGAAGCCTATTGTTCGAGAGTTCGGAACTTTCTTTGATGATAGGTCCTCTCGCTCGCTCTATACTCGCAGTCTCGCTTTCTCTCTCGCACACGACGAGTTGTGAGATGAGCTCGAAAAGATAAGCGGGCCCGAGCGCCCGAGTATCGAGATCAAAGAACGTTCCGAACTCTCGAACAATAGGCTTCCCCATCCATGGCAATTCACAAATATAAACATCTTATAAGTGAAAAACTAAAACCTTTATTTTGCATTTTATCTATTCGAAATAATATTAATGGATTATTGAGATTTTTGCGATTTCAACGACACCAAACACGACATAAATCGGATAATTTTTAATTAAACAGATAATCATACAAGTTCCTATCGCATACAGCTATTCTACAGACGGCTTTTCACGGCTTTTTGAGGCAAAGAAAAATGCATTTTTGTAATATACGTGTTATAAGTAAATAAATCGTGTTATTTACATTTATTTTGTGTAAAAATTACATTTTATGGTAAAAAAAATTTTATTTAAAATAAAAAAATTAAAAAAAAAGTCACTCCTCGAGAATCGAACCTCTAACTTCGACGGTACGTGTCTAGCCCCTTAACGCTACGCCACACGCTCTTCGATATAACGCTCTATTCCATATGTATTTATACGGCACTCATTATTTTGATTTCGATTTTCTCGCGTACGCTTGAGAAATGCATTTTATCTCTTTATTCCACAATAATTAAAAGGATTTCATTAAATTGACAAATATAGTCGTACTAAAAAAAAAAAAAAAAAAATTGGCCCTGCGAGGTCTCGAACTCATCTCCTTTAACAGCTACGTGTTACTGGCGCTCATCTGTGCACATAGCACGGAATCGAACCACGTACCGTGCACATAGCCTGTTACCACTCGGGAGCATCGTGCACATGGCTACGTAGTTCAATGTGCACGTTTTGTGCACATAGAGGCGCTTTGAATTCCGGTTGCAGCTAAATCGAGGGATGACCACTCTCATCCTTCTCTCTGGTTGCTGCGTCAGAATTTTTTTGTGGTATAACATTTTATAATAAAATAATATATATATATATATATATAATATATATAAAATATATATATATATTATATATATATTATAATATATATATATATATATATATAAATATAATATTATGTATATTTATAATATATATAATGTATATATTTTTAGGTAGTATAATTGACGGCTGAAGGAAAAACAAGAAAGGATGAAAGAAAAAGAAGCTGAGAGAATACATATGTTTACAAGAGCTCTGTTTCTGTTTGAAACATTTCTCCTAGAACAAAGTCGAAGAACGGAAGGGTAGCAAATTCTCTTGGAAATAAGTATGTTTTTAATGAAAGATGAACTAAGTTACGCATGAATGATTCATTTCTCGTTGCATCAGAAAGTAGAAATAATCTCATAAAGAATCACGTAAGTCTCAATGACGTATTTTTTATAAATATAGAAATGAGATATAGGTTAAAATATCTCGTGTCAAGTCATGAGATTTTTTTCATAAATGTAGAAGAGGTATGAACAAAACAAAGCAAAAACGATATTTCTTTAAACTGAATTTGATGAATGAGTATATTTTAGTAGCATTTTTTATTCTTGCGTATATTTGCAGACTATGAAGCCTGACAGAGGTTTGAAAAGCGCGCGCTTGCGCGGCGTCGCTCGCCGGCCAATCAGAGCGCGCCGCGGAGCGACCAATCAGAGCCCGCGTTGCGCAACGACTCCGCGCCGAAAACGTAAACGTACAATTCAAACGGATTGAGTTACTGCGGCGGAAGGCGAGAAGCGTGGACGCTCGTGAGTATCTTGAATTAATCTTGAATTAATCGCGAGATATTTATCAATTCAGTGTTTATAGAATATTAATGCACCTTTACGCACAATTAGCGATATTGTTTTATCGTTCGAATGACGATAAATTGTGACTGCAAAGTGATGAACACAAAATTCCGATTTTCGTAAAAATCTCAATAAATATGTCTTTCCTTCGAATAAGTATTGAGCTTTATACATTGAAAAAATATAAAAAATTGCGACTTGAAGCTTGGAAGAATATTAAAAACATAAAAATTTAAATCTGAATTTAAGAAATAAATTCGAAAAAAATATTAAAGAAATATAAATATAGTACATTAAATACGATCGATTTTATATACAAATATAGGAATAATTTCAAAACATGTATATATACATACATATATAAAAAATTATCTTTTAATCCACTTTAATTCATCCATTTGTTACAGCTTTAATTTATACCTATTATATATATATTATTTTGTTTTGTATACAATTCTTATTTCTCTTTCAAAGTCTTCAACGAGGATGGTAGGAACTAAGAAGAAAAAAATGTTTCTAGCATGCGTGTGTAGAAGTGTATCTTACAGTTACAATTAGATAATTGTACGATTAGTCAATAAATAAAAATTGACTCGATCTTTTCTCGCAGATTAATAAAACGAGAAAAAGAACGAGAAGGACACGTTTCGTTCTTTAATGTTCCTTCGAGCTAGTGTATCGAGAATAAGAGATCATATTTTACATCTTTTTCTTTTTCCAGGTCTTTTGCTCTTTCCGCGGTTTTAAAATCGCGCGTCGTCCTCGTTGCCGTCAACGGAGACCGGACTCCCAAACGGCCGCTCTTCATCGTCCTTCTTTTCTTCGGTTTTCTTCCCTTCGTTGCTGGGCCGCGACTGCGGCTTCCGGTTGGACTGCGCTTCCGTTTCCGAAGTCGCGGAGGCGTGCAAAGGTGAGTGCGAGATCGGCGGAAAGGGAACAGTGGGAGCGACCGACTCCGCGCTGTCCGGGGCGGACGTTCCACCCACGTCGAGAGGACCGCTTAGGATCGAATCGGGCGAACTCTGATTAGATTGCTCGACGGTGGCGTCCGCCGCGGGCTGATGGTCGCCCGTTTTCGAAGCCGGAGATTTGCTCTCCTCAGGAACCGTCGAGGTGCGCCGCAAGGTCGTCCTTCGACCTTGACTGCCACCGCGCGTGTCTTTGGTTAGTTTAGTCGGTTTTGCTCGATATTAGGGGCTTACAAGGATGACAAGCGTCAAACGTGGTACCTAGACGGTGATACAGGAGTGTCTCCCTCGAAATACAATCTCCTTTGGAGATGAGAAACTTTGTCTCACATTTCTGAGGGATTAAAGTAAAATTGTTCAGAAGTGAGATTATATCGTTTAGCATTTATATACGTACGAATACAAATTCTGTATAGCATACAAATTTTAATTGTTACAATCAAATTAAATATAAATTTGCAATGTCTTTCCAAATGGAATTTTATTTGATATAAAAATTGTAGACGAAGAATAAAATACATTTAAATTTAAAATGAAATTTAATCGGAGATTTTTTATGTTTAAAAGCTTTTGATTGCTAAAATCTGGAGACACATGATCATTTAGGTACGACGTTTGATGCATTTTGATACGTTCATGGAAATTCCTTACATACTTTTACACTTACTCAGGCAATATCTTTTAACATAGCACAACCATTTTTTTTAGAAAATACTTTTTAAACTTTCTCAAAAATAATTTCACGAAATAAGTTGATAATATATAAAATATAAAAGTGCAATATATGTGTAACAACAAAATAAGTATAGATAGAAACAGTTACACAAATATTTCTAAACGTTACTGTATAGGTATGATTTGTATCATTTTTTGTAAAATAATTTTTTTTATAAAAGTGATGAGTAATAATAAATTTAATAATATATATTAATAATTAAATTCTCTAATAATTAATAAAATAATATTAATTACAAATTATGAAAATATAAAATATTAAAAAAATTTATTTTTTAAATTTAAGGACCGAATTATATTCTGATAAGTTTTGAAGTTACTTACTGATTTATATCTATTGGAGAGACTCTCTGTTCTGGGCTGATCATGGGTCGATTACTGTTGTCCCACGAATTGTGCCGGCGATGATTGCTTTTGTCCTTGTAAGCCTCGGCTATATTGTTGTAACTGCCAACGATTCTGCGTTTATCGAGCTCTTTCAACACTTTCTCGGGCATACTACCGGCCGATTTATATAATCCGCTGTCCGTATGCTACGACAAAAGTATATTTTGACAATTAGATTTATTTCAGTGCATATTTTTATGTAAAAAGAAATAAAGACGAGTGTAGATTCTCTTTCAGATAACAATAATTTCATGATTATCTAAATGAAATATATATTATACATATATATCTCGTATATATTCATAATATTAATTTTTCCTCTTTTTGCCTGCATGTTTTTTTCTTCTATTGATATTTTATTATTGTTATTATATGTATTATCTTTCAGATATACTCGGAATCATACCTTGGAAAAGGAGTACACCGGACTCGGAGCAGCGTTCGGATTGGTCCAGACATTCGTCGCACCAGGTATGTCTTCATTGTTATCCCGCAATAATTCCGCCGAATACGATGGTCTCGCTGGTATTATAGGCGATCGACAGCAGACTCTATAAAAACATATAACAAACAATTCTTAAATAATTCCTTGCGAAACGAAACACTGAAAAAAGTTTAAAGGAAAGAAATAAAATTGCAATAAATTATGCAATATACGAATTGAATAGAGAAAAAATTAAACATTACATCGTTAATTTAATTTAACAAACATATTTCAAATATGGAATAGAAAATGTTATAAAAGAGCTACGAGATTATTTTAAAATATAAATTATATAATACACTGAAAAATTGTTTAACTTGACTACACCGTTCAACTAAATTATTATTTTGTTAATTGAACATATATTAGCATTTAAGTTAAATATAGTATACGTTTTATTAGATTTTATATTATATTTAATTTAAATATTTCTATATGTTCAATTAACAAAATAATATTTAGTTGAACGATTTAGTCAATTTAAGTTAACAACATTTTTCAATGTACGTAAACATACATAAACGTTTAAAAATCGATAAAAAATGAAAAATAACATATTTCAATTATTTGTTTGCACTTTGCTTGTGCTCATATTGCCGCGGATGTTTCTATAAACAGACTTACGAGTTTACGTCCTCCAGCTTTCTGAGTAGCCTCTCGTTTTCCCGGCAAACGAGTTCCTGGTCCCGTATCACTTGCTCGCGCGTAGCATAAAGCTCCGCATTTTCACGACGTAACGCCTCGTTTTCGGTGATATATGCATGGATCAGTTGGCTCAGTTCCGAGCTCTCCATCTCGGCTAATTTGTCGAAATCTACCGGGGGTGGTGTCACGGGTATCCGTCGTTCGGCTGCAAACAAAATTTTTATATCTCGCAGTCAGTGATAGAAATAGAAAACAAAAAATCCATTAAGAAATATATTTATCTCACGAAACCGAATATACTGAATCTTCAAAATTAGATATCAATTTCAAAGTTTCTTTGTTATACGTTTTATGAAATTTTTATTATACTAAAATGTTTTAACTCGTCTACATTGAACAAAATTGTTAATTTGACTAAATTGTGTGACTAAATTATTATTTTGTTAATTGAACATATATCAATATTTAAATCAAAATACGTAATGATAGATTTAATATGTTATATTTAATCTAAATATTTTTATATATGTTTAATTAACAAAATATTTTATTTAGTTGAATGATTTAGTCAAGTTAACAATATTGTTTTGAGTGCAGCGTTTCTATATAAAATTATATTGCTAACAATTTTAATTATTTATCGCAATTTAACGCGTTTCTGATGTGAAGTTTTTGAAAACGACACGATAAGAAAGATATGAAAAATTTGCAATTAGTACTTTTGGATTCACTACGAATCATATTTTGAGTCTCGTTGAGATGAAGCGTCATTCTCAGATGCTCGTTTTCGGTCTGAAGTGCTCCAACTTCTCGTTTCAAGCTGAGAATCAGAGCTTCACGTGGGTCCTAAAAAAATAAGGTTTACAGCCATTTACATTTCATAAATTACATATTTCTTTGAACATTAGGCGTTTGCCAAATCACAGCAAATGACCTTACCATCACTATAAGAGGTTTCGTAGCAATCTTTTTGGCCCTCGCGGCGTATCTTAAAGTATTTAAGGTCTCGCTGGCATTTGAACGAGCTGGCGAAACACAGGCGATCTAAACACAAAATATTTGACATTCTTAAAATAAAGAATAATTAATTCAATTAATTTTTCACAATTTTACTTTTAATTATTGAAAAATATATTTAATTTTTTACTTGATTTATTTTTAACTTAATTTTATCTGTCGCGATTCTTTTTAATAATTTATTAAATTTATTTTTTGTTACAATTTTATTTTTAATCATTAAAAAATATATTTAATTTTTATTTGATTTATTTTTAACTTCATTTATCTATCACGATTCTTTTTAATCCGCTACAGTTTTTTGAGGAAAATTTACAACACCCTTTTAATAATATGGTGTTTTATAATTAGTAATGTATTTTCGTAAAAATATCCGGGATTAATTTAAAAGTTACAAGAACTATTATAAGAATACTCTTGTTTATTCACCATTAATGTAACACCATTTCCGGCAAGGCTGTCAGCCAAAAGCTTTGTCAACTTGCTGTCTCGATAAGGGATGTGGCCCCCTTTCCGTTTTCCGTCACTTAGGGAAGCGATGCAATATCCTATGTAAATACAAATGACGCTTCACTTTCACGAATTAATAAAATTAGATTATATTATGTGTAAATCGCGCATAAAAATATCACTTTTGTCAGAAACAATGTTGCAAAAACTGCCTATCTATATTATTGAGAAAAATTGCCTCATTTTATGGCTGTAATCGCGAAAGTTTATCGATTATTTTCCTTAGACATAAGGCGGTCTTTTCACATGTCAGTAACTTAATAGTTTTATCGATTACTTCAACTATTCTAAATAATAAACGCAATCTCATCGCAATTTCAAAGTCAAGATCTAATTCGATTTTCTGTTGATAAATTAATTATAATAGTTTATTATACCTAAGTGTATACTATTTCTAGTGTATCAAATAATCGTTTGAATACATATGTGACGTAATTTTTTCTTTAGCTTATAGCATTTCGTCATTGCGTACGAAATGTCAGATTTTAAATTTTAATTTAATTAATAAAGTATGACAATTTTGTTATACACAGAAAAGATTTCTTTAATTTTGATATCGGAAGATGATAATAATTATGATATATTGACTTACCTAATACCATAAGACTTTTATTGATGTTGTTTGCCTCTTCTAAGGTCTTGCCTTCGCTCAGAGTTTTCTTCGTCATCTCGCTTCCGGCGAGATCGACGAAATTAATTTTACCTTGTTTCGAGATAAACACACCGTTCTCCATCTATTAATTACGGGAATTTATTTTAGTTCTCGTTATAACTTAATGATTGCGTGATCAGATAAAATAAATTAATCAGTAATGAAGGAAACAGAAAGAGAGAGAGAGAGAGAGAGACAGAGAGAAAGAATTAATTTCGCTTTCTTTCAAAAGATGAACATATCACGTTTTAGTCATCTACTTCGATATACATTAAATTGATTGCGTGGGGAGAAGTGGAACTAGGATAAATTAGTTCGTATAACGAAAAGTCTAATTTTAGTTTGATATTTTCGAGTTAATGCTTATCTTCGATATATCCAGCACTAATGTTAATATTTGTCTCACGGGAAATATGTATAATGATTTCAAGTATTTATTTATCATATTTACTTACTGCTTGCTCAGAAATTATAGTTACAGTCAGAATCGAATGGCTTCTGCTGGAATATTCGTTCATATTGTGCGCACCAATAGATCTATTCCTCATTCCTATGAAAAATGTCAATCTCATTATTTCGCTAAGAAATGATCTATTAAAATATTTCTACAAACCTTTTTATGTATCAAAATATTCTACAAAATTTTTAGATTGAGATAAATAAATAAAGGATAAAATATTGATACAAGTATACTGTGTATTAAAATAAAGATAGAGAACGTTGAATAGAATTCACAATACATTATAACTTTTTTAATTTCAATTTTTTGTTAAAAAGAAAATTAATAATAACATTCAAGAATTATAATTTTCAATTTTTCGTAATTTTAATTGCTTCAATCTTTTTGAAGTCATACCTTCTTCGAGAACCGCTAAAAGATCATCAAGTTCTTCACATTCCACTGTGAAGAGATTTTCAACGAAGAATCCACGTGTCTTTTTGCTCCATCGAACCGCTAGAGGTTTTCTCGAAGTTCCGGGATTTAAAAGATCTATCACCTGTTTATAATTTATTTATTTATTTATTTTTATAATTATTTTTCTTATGAAGAAATTTATAAAGAAATTTGTTACGAGTGATAATTGTTCGCGTTTTATTTTATAAAATTATATGTATATCATAAAATTAAAAAAGGAATTTATTTATATTTTATTTTGTTATTTTTATTAAAAATTATTTTAATAATTTTATTATCTCTGTCGTTCTAAAGAGATAGATAGATAGACCTTCTCATTATAGATTTCCAGAAAGGAAGCCTTTAGCACAAAATTGCACTTCTCATGTTGTTGAAGGACTTTAAATAGGTAGACGAAGGAACGGAAGACCAGACCATGATCCTCCGAGTATGGATCCGTTTTTTCAAACTGTTAGAAAAATGATTAAGTTAATAATAATAACTTGTGATAATAAATAATTTATAGATATAAAAATGTGCATGTGAAATAGATAAATTAAATTTTATAATGATTTATTTTTATGTGATTTGAAGTTCTTATTGTTAGATAAATTCTACACATTATGACTTTATTTCATTAAACTATATAATATATATTAGATTTGATTAAAGTTTATAAATTTTGTAATAACCAAACGAATTAAATTAAATCCTTTTGTTCCGCTTTTATTCTGCAGATAAAAATATTTTTTATCACAATAAAAGAGATCGCGAAAAGTATATATATGGTGATAAAATATTTTCAGCATGCATTTGTTAATTATTAAAAAAATTTATTATTTTTATTGATTTTTCACCTTTTATGCGATGTAAACTTGACCTATCGAAATTTCAATGCCGCATTTAGTTGTGCGAAACAACACATTACGTGTGACTTAAACACGTCGCATTATCTTATCTACGAAAGACGATCAACTTTAACCTTCCAACTGACTACGTAGCTATCGATCTTTAACGTCACCATATGTTTTACGTATCGTATTGTCTTCTGCATGTATAGACAATCGTGTATTACGACGCTATTAAAAAACACTGTGCGTAGCTGTAAAGCTCGACTTTCTCTCGGAACATTCTAATAATGTTATTGTTTCAAAGAGAGGGTTCACTTTTTTTTATTTTTTATTTAGCAATACAATTGCGAAATATCATATTTACTATACGTACATATATTATATATGTAAAGAGAGAATTTTCTTTTAGAATTTACCCTGAAAATCATGGTAATCGTGGGACAATATTAATATTTACCACAATAAGATATAAAAGATGTCTGATTAATTTTACTATATACATATAGTAAAATTTCCTAATATGTACATATTAATATTTTTTATTGTGGTAAATATTAATCAAAGAAATTCTTGTAGAATTCTTCAAATATCATATTGGCCCACGATTATCACGATTTTCAGGGTAAATTCTAAAAGAGAAAATTTCCTCCGTGTATGTATGTGCACATATAAATATTGACTACATATACCTATATAAAAAATGCAACTCTCATACGAATCATTTATTTATGTTAAACTCCAAATAAAAAAAAAGCTTTTAATTAATATTCCCAAAAAGGGTTCGAATACACAAAGCGGAGAAAATTGCTTTTCTTTACTTACAAGTCTCGGAGGTCCAGTCAGGGTATGCGTTTTGCCACTTCCGGTTTGTCCATAGCAAAACACGGTGCAGCTGAAGCCTTCCACCGCCATTTCGATTAGATTTTTAATGCCAGAATATTGCAGGATATCCTCCTGCGAGGCATTCGGCTCGAAAACGACGTTGTAGGAAAATACCTTTGGCTTTTTCTCGCCGCTGCTCGTAACATAATCGCACTGTAAAGTAAATAGATTGTGTGCAATGTTAAGTTTCACAATTTAAAATAATTGAATTGTTTTATAAATAGACAAAAGATATATTGATTTGAGAAGTCGCGACTATTTTTAAAACAATTAAATTTTCCTACTTACGTATATTTGTCCATCTCCCGGAAATTGTACGACCATCTCATCCCCGGATTTGACTTCTTTATTACTGAGCGGGCGAACTCTGAGTAAAAGGAAGAATAGATATTGAAATAATTTCAAATTTATTCGAAAAGTTTGAATAATATTAAAATGAATTATGCTATATTATACCTGACGACGACATTTATGTTATTTTCCGGAAGTAGATGCTTGGTCGCAATTATCCGTCTATCACCGTCTACCAATTTTTCGATGCTACCGACACTGAAAGCAACATTATTTTCGCGATATCATTATGCATTGAGTTTATTTTTTTTAAATAAATTGATTTATTAAACGATTTATTACACGTTAATGAAATAATAAATTATATAAACGTATTGTATAAAAATAATAATGCATGAAGTGATTAACAAACGCGAGATATATTTAAACATAATCAATAGAATGATACGAAAATTGTATTTTACCTCAGATTAGTAAAGAAAAGAATGATTATCATTTATTACTGTTAGAGCTACAAAAAGGTAGGCGACATTTGACCATTATTAACAAAGTAAATTATCTTTGAATACATATCGTGTATCGCTGCTTATTCTACATAATTAAAAATCACCCCGTGGGTCTCCCTGTGCGTGGACGTCAGAACTTGTATAGTTAATAAATGTAGATAGAATAAGTTATAAGGGTTGTGCAATTGTTATCATTATACGTGCACTATTCCCGCTGGCTGTTCTATTATTAAACGCGATCGTCGATCTAATTCCGCAAATTAACGGCGTTCCATGAATGCGCGATGGCAAGCGTCCAATACGGAAATGTCCAGTAGTCAATCGTTCGATTGACCCCTAATCGCGGTCGATCCTTATAATTCACGAGCCGCTCGATCGAAACGTATCGAGTAGCTCGTGTCTATATATGTGTATGTGTGTATATGTCTATTTGGTCGCGATTTCTTTTTCATTTCGAAACATCGTATCTCCGAGAGAAGGCCCTTTCATTATTTAGGCTCGATGTTGATAAATATCGAATCGTTGGATCGATTAGTTGCGATTCTCGTTCAGAATATTCGCGTATTTTGCAACTCTTACATCCGAGTGGAGATTTGTCGAAATTTTTCCATATGCTTATTCTATATATTATTATGCTTTATTCTATCAAATTAAAATTTGACATTATTTATGCAACGCATATTCTATAATTCTCTCTTTCTCTACTGTATTTATTTATTATTTATTTATAAACAGGAAAAAGAAGAGAAATAGATCTCTTGAATCCAATAGGGTATTTCATTATAAATTAAACTAGCAAAGACGCAGATAAATGTTAAAAATAAAAATATATACATATATATATATATATATATACACACAGAGAGAATTTTCTTTTAGAATTTATCCTGAAAATGATAATCGTAGGACAATATAATGGAAGAATTAGGAGTTTCTTTGATTAATATTTAGCACAATAAAAAATACTAATATTTACATAATAAGATATAAAATATATTCGATTAATTTTACTATGTACATATTAAAATTTCTTATTGCGGTAATCAGAGAAATTCTTATAAAATTTTTCTAATACCATATTATCCCATAATTATTATGATTTTTAAGATAAATTCTAAGAGAAAATTCTTTATTATTAATATATACATAAAATTCTATATAGTAAGTAATTACTAATATATAATATATAATAAAATATATTTTATTATTTTTAAAAATTTAATTTGAATCGATCTATTTTTAAATTTGTCAATTATCCAGGGAGCAGTTGTTTTCAAAACAGCTCTCTATTCTATTGTAAACATATATGAATAAGTCACGTGCGAGCTACGCAAGCTTTGTTTATTGTTTTACAATAGCTGTTATTCCACACGTGTACAGTTATAAACGCATACTTACTATTGGAATTAAGTATTCTTAGTAACGAGACCGTAAAAATCACTCCTCGAAACTTATCACAAATTTGACTCTCCCTCATGGAATTAATTATATACACACGTGCACAAAGGTACATAACACCATATATAAATATATATAAATATACGCATGTTTATGGTATAGTTTGATGTCTTTTATCGATTACGGGACCTTGCCGCGCGACCTCAGTCGTAGTCGATCATAATGACCACCCTGTACATAAGGATGTACATACATGCGTAAATATCTCAATATATTATTCGTATATGTATCCCTTTTTTTTTCTTTTTACGTAGAATGAGTCACTGGAAATAGAACGTGTTCGAATGTGTCTCTCTCTTACAATTAGACTTTGAAAAAAATGCATAAACACAATTTTCAATCTTTTATACATTATAAATAAGCATTTTTTTACTATTTTATACAAAAATATTTAATACAAATTATAAGTAATATTATAAACTTTAAATTTCTGTCCTTAATTAAAAACTTTTAATTTGATATTTTTTTTAAATGATATATTACACGATACAACTTTGAAGTATAGATATTTATTTTAAATGATTATAGTGCGCAAAATAATACCGTGACAGAGATGGGTTTAAATTTTTATATAGGTCATGATGAAACTATGTAAGATTAAATGGACGATTAATTATTGTTCAAATACAATCGCATGTCTACTGCAAACTTACAACTTCGTAAGAAGCATCAGAATATCGTTTATTTAATAATATATCATGAAATGTTGAAATTCATTTTTTACATAATACTTTTTATTAATTTTTCGGAAAATATGTGATTTTCCTCCTCTTTTCTTTAGCGCAATTTAAAAGTATATATATTTATTTTGAAAAAATAATTATATTAGGGATGATATACATAATTGCTCTGCAATCAAACAATATTAACTTATTTGATTTAATATTGTAATAGATATTTTATACGTATATAAATGAATTGAATTGAATTGAATATCTATTATATTATATATTAAGGACATAATTATATTTGAGTTTTTATTAAGAGAATATAATATTAAAGTACCATATAATAAAATTTAATAATTTAATTCTCTGTCCAATTATAGTTTTAGTAAAAAAAATTGCACAATTATACACACACCTTTAAAATAAACAATATTACTTTGTATAATACAACAACATAATATTTAATAATAATAATAATATTATATCGATTGACCTCGAGGAAAAAAACCACATTATCTCATAATCGAATAAGCAATGTCGAAGCGTGTAAATGTGCAAACTCTCGTATAGTGCAAGTTTACACAAACATCCGTCCACATAAAATTAAATAAAGACCGCGAAACGCGAGTTTCTGTCCACCTTGATGGTCGCATCGTATATCATCATCTTTGTCCCAGATCTATAATTTCCAGTTAGGTCAATCTTTCCTGTTCGCCAATATTTTTTACGAAACCACGAGTCGAGCAATTACGCTCGAGTGCAATCGCGAAAGTGAAACGCATTTCTAAGCATTTAAAACAAATAATGATAATAAGTTATAAATAGTAATATATAATAAATACAAATAATTTTTATATAAAATTAAGAAAATAATATTGGTAGTTATATAGAAATCTAGAGTCATCTTTTTTCATCGATAAACAAATTTGATGCCACAAATAATATTTGCAAAAAGCAATATTATATACATATTATATATACATGTTTTCTTATTAAACTGTTTTTTTATTACATTTTTAAAAATCTTCAAATTAAGTGGAAATAATTATATAATATAATTTATATAATATAGAGAATTTTTCTAAAATTAACATCTGAAAGTTTTCTAGAGTTTTAATAAAATCAAGAGAAAGAAAATTAATTGTTTATATAATTTTAAATTTATTATTGTTTTATTTACACGATAATCTTTCTCTGTTTTTCTTTCTCTCTTTCTCACGATATTCAATATTTTAGTATCTAAATCTTATCTATTTTATATCATCTCTCTTTTAACATTTCTATATATATATATATATATATTATTTGATTATATTTCTAGTTATATATATTTTTACAATAATGTGATTATATATATTAGTTATATTATGATTAAAATCTTATGATGTTGCTATACAAAGAACTTATATCATCTTTTAACCGTGTACAGTGAAAAGTTTATGAACAACTTTTACACATTACAAAAGTACACTTATTCTTGTTAAATTTAAATGAGATAAATATAAAACTTCAAGGTGGTATATTTTTTTAATGTCATCTAGTTGGTTTTCTGGACGTGAGTAAACGAATTTGACACTCGTGTCACTCGTGCATAATATGTATATAGTAAGCATTGATTGGAAATTTTACAGTTGTTCTGTATATATGTGGAAGAAATAATATCAATCTTCATACTATCTATTAATTTTACTACAGTCATCTTTTCGATATTATCGCGACAAATCAAAGCGATAAAGCACGACGACGCGAGCGATAATTGAGTTGAATCTATTTTTCCATCACGTATACTTACGCGAACATAATATATATGTATGTACGTTATACTTCAACTTGTCACGTATCGATCAATTGTCAAAGTTTTTTTTTTGGCGAGGTTTATCGTCTTGGCGACAAACAAATCATTGATACACATTAATTCCATTTCGTTGTCGCTAAGAATAGACACGAAAAGATATACTCACCAATATATGTAATGTGTAAATATAATTTATATGAATCTTGTGCAATAGAAATTTCTGATAGTATATATGTGAAAAATATTTAATCCATAAAATAATATATTAAAATACATAAAATCTAGTTTTGCGTTTTATGTGCAAAAATAATTTACCATAGATATTTACGATATATTTATTTATATATTTCTTATTAACTATTCGTAGAAAAAAATGATACAATTTCTAACTCCAATTTTACTATTATCGTTAATCTTTTATTCCGACAGCATCGATACGTGGATGATCGCCTGTTTCGATTAGACAATTTGTTTCGTGGTAATTTTCACTGGAACTCTATGATATATTATCCTTCATGTCTGTTCGTACACTAGACCAGGAAATATGTTTTTTTTTTTTTGTTGTCGAAGATATAGCTTGATATATATATTAACAAATGGACACATTATTATTTATATCATGATACGAGTTTATGACGATATTGCTTATAAATTTATTACTTATATTAATTTTCAAAAAATAATTTATTTCTTTATATAAGAATCGTCATAGATATTTATTTTGCCGTAGATAAAATTTATATTTTATTTTATATCTAAATAATAATTTATTAAAATATACGGTCATATATAGTATCCTAAAATTTATTTTTCATTTTTCTTATGTTTAAAAGATAAAAATCTATATATATAATATTCCTTGTTAATTTATTCTTAACACACAAGATTACATATAACTGAGACACTTATGCAATTGAAATCTTTGTAGATAAAAAATGATGCGCAATAGACCCTTAATCTCTTGTGGAACTAAAACGCAAAGCGATCCGGATTGGCGACAAGTTTGATTTCTTTTTCGGTGCAAAAGGAATTAAAAGGCAGATGTACTTACTCGTTGCCCTGCGAGCGCATAAGCGCACTTTTCCTCTTCCCTTTGGAACCACTCTTCGCCGGACTACTTCCTCGCGAACCAGTTTGGTTGCCGGACTGTTTCCCGCGCGAACCTCGACCTCCTCCTCGTCCTTTTGACCTTCCGTTCCTCGCATTTTCTCGTTGGGGGCTCGGGCCGCGCGTCGGAGACGGATTTTTCACCAGCACCATCCGTCCACCTACTAAATTTGTTTATCCCAATATTAATTCGCGAGTCATTAAGATTCCAATTTTGTGCGATTTTTTAAAACCGCATACATTTTTTAAAAATAAAATAATAGCAATTATTTATATATATTTAATAAAGATAAAATTTTATCAGATTATATGTGTATAAAATATATAGCATATTTATGAGAAAATGTTACATATTTGCTTTTTGCAATATTTATCAGTGGCATGAAATTTCTTTATCAATTAAAAAGACAACTCTAAAAAAAAATATGTAATCTATACAATTTGCGGTAATGTGGAGAAAAATAGAACATATATTTAGACGAGATAGAGATATCAATGCAAACTGCTGTTTACTGTGTGAATCAAGATTGCGCTTATCTCTTAAGATCTTTCCAGTGAATGCGCAAATTCGAAATGCGAAAATTTATGCAATCACGTGCATTCAACAGTCAACTAATTATGGACGTTTCGCGCATTGTACACGATTCGATTGCAAATCCTCGCCAAGCTTCGTTTCGCTTGCAATGATAATGAGCTGTTACCGCAATTAAAGCGAAAGCTACTTCGAACCGCTTTAGAATTGATTTAGGTGAAAATTCTAATTTTTTTCTAAAAGATATATAAATAATATAGAAATATATACAAAAAGAAGTTGCTTGTGTGTAATAGATATAACAAATAAAATATAAATAGAGAAAATATAAATGTAATAAATATGATGTAATATGACAAAAAAATCAATTAATTTTTTTAAATAAAATTCGTCTCAATTTGGTTTTACAATAATAAAATTTTTTAATGGCAGAAGATTTAATTAAAATCGTGCTGTCAGAAAACAACAACTCTTGTATTATTCAGGCATTGTTGCCTGAAGGATGGAATCTCTTTTCTTTTAAAATGAACGTTTCGGGAATTGACGTTTCGGGAAATCGCGCTTTGCTATTTTATCGGAAGTGAAAGCGAACGAGCAAGAGAAATGGTGTAATAAAATATTTTACATGAGTCATTAAAGGTAGATTGCGTGGGTTGCAACTCGCAAGAAAAACACTTCTTAAAATGATTTTGCATTAATGATCGTTTAAATGACAATCTAATCTTTTAACATTTATGTACACATGGTCACTCTATACTTTCTAATATTATTTTTGTTGCTACAGAATTTGTTAACTTGACTAAACCTTTCAATTAAATATGATTTTATTAATTGAACATATAAAAATATTTAAATCTATATATATAAGCACCGTCCGTCTGTCTGTCTGTCTGTCTGTACCCGAACTACTTCCGCATTTGTGGACCGATTGTCTCGAAATTGGTACCAAAATGTTGCAAATTTTTCGGGGGTGGCTGCTGTGGGGTTTTTTTTTAATTTTTTAATTTTTATTTTTTTCCTCACAGGAGGGTATGTTTGTTGCGAAAAAATTTTTTTGCAATATTTCTGAACACATGGTATCAAAATGTTGCAAAATTTTTGGAGATAGCGACGATGCGGTTTTTTTCAAGTGTTACACTTCCACCCACTCACCCACCCACGCATTTACCCACATGCATGCGCATTTATGGACCAATTTTTACGAAATTAGTACCAAAATGTTGCAAATTTTTCTGAGGAAACTGCTGTGTGGGTTTTTTAAGTTTACGCCTCCACCCACGCACCCACCCGCGCAATTGCATACTTATGAACCGATTTTTTTTAAATCGGTACCAAATTGTCGCAAATTTTTGGAGATGGAGACGATGCGGTTTTTTCAAGTGTTACACCTCCACCCACGCACCCACCCACGCGCATGCGCATTTATGGACCAATTTTCACGAAATTGATACAAAAATGTTGCAAATTTTTCTGAGAAAGCTGCTGTGTGGGTTTTTTAGGTTTACGCCCCCACCCACGCATCCACCCACGCAATCGCATATTTATAACGGATTTTTGTAAAAATTGGTACCTAAATGTTGCAAATTTTTTGGAGATGGCGACGATGTGGTTTTTCAAGTGTTACACCTCCACCCACGCATTCACCCACACGCATGCGCATTTATGGACCAATTTTCACAAAATTGGTACAAAAATGTTGCAAATTTTTCTGAGAAAGCTGCTGTGTGGTTCTTTTAAGTTTTATCCCACCCATGCATCCACCCACGCATTCAAACATTCACAGACTTTTTCGAAATTTGTACTCAAATTTTGTCCGGGATGGCTACTATATGATTTTAACAAATTTTTATCACTTTATTTATCCACCCACGCACTCACCCACGTATCTACGTACCCGCATGTGCATACGCATTTATTGACTTGGTCACACCAAGAAGTAATTTTTAAAAAATGTGTGTACGTGTTTGTGATTAAAGTAAAAAATGTTTTACAAAAAATGTAATATACAGGGAAATTTTGTAAATTGAAGAATTATGACATTGTATGAGAGCTAATAATAGCGGGTTAGCGGTGGGTACATTAGAAATAAAATTGAGTAAAATGTAAAAAGGATATAATAATTAAGTAATAAAAAAAATATTTAAAGTATATATTAACTAAAATAATGTTTTATATTTAAAAAATATGAAATTGTGTGGAAATTAAAATAAACAAGAAAATAAAATAAAAATATATAATAAATATTTAAATATATGCAAAACGCGGTGTAAAATAAAATATCTGGGAGAAAGAAATAGATAACATAGTAGTCATTCAAAAAAAATTTAAACATTTATTTTGATATAAATTTCGTGAAAGTCGGACAACAAATGTGGAAGTAGTTCGCGGTAATACAAGAAAAGAATTAATTTTTTGTGTTAAAACGGATTTAATATAGGCTATATGAGGACCGCGCGAAGCGCGGTCCGAAAAGCTAGTTAAATATAACATATTAAATCTAACAAAACGTATATTTAACTTAAATACTAATATATACGTTCAATTAACAAAATAGCAATTTAGTTAAAAGGTTAGTCAAGTTAACAAATTTAATTTTTAGTATATTAATTAAAAATAATAACAAATCAATAAATTTTAATACTTGATATAACACCTAATGAATTTCGCTAAAAAGTCTAAATGTAAAACGAAGTTGAAAGTAAAACGTCGGGGTCGTTATCCCGCGCGATCTCTCATTAAAATAAGACTCTAAAAATAAGAGTTATTATATTTTCCGCATCCGCGTTATTATTATACCGGCTATTCATAAAAATAAAAGGCTCGTTATTCGAAATTCGCTCATCTCCTCCTAATAGCGCACACGTAGGATACTTTCATAATTGAAAAGATCGCTCATAGACCGCTTATCGAACCTGACTTGCAACAACGTTCTGACGTCCGACGAGTGTGTATAGTCTGTATACCGAACGAAAATAATGCACTTACATTCGTAGTTTCATGTATCGTCCGGAAAATTCCCCTTTCGGTAATCCCCCTCCCGCGATTCTTCCCAAATTCACCCCCCAGAGGGCGGGAGATTAATCGTAGAAGTCGCGAACTATCGAATCGCGCGCGTCCGAATCTCGCTCATCCGCGAGAGGGTAAAGAGAGAGAGAGAGAGAAAATGCACTGCGTGCAACAGCAACAACCACCGGCGCCGTACTGACACACGAGGGGGATGATGGCGAGTCTTGACTTAGCACTCCAGGGATGGAGGGGGATGGGGTGGTTTTCCTATAGTCGGTGTCGCGCGCGTCGATCGAAATAAGCGGCGGGCTTTGAATGTGTATATTCATCGCATATACACCCAACACGTTATTACCGTTATTTTACTCCACCACCACCACTAGATTATTGTACTATCGCCATTCTGCCGTCGCTACCCTCGTCCTCGCGACACGGTCATCGTCCACGTGGAGTTACATCACCACGAACTTGACACCGACGATGATTACACGATGATGGCGGCTTATCAGGTCTATTGCTTTTTAATTCTCTTATTTCATTCGTTGTTCGGATAAAAAATTATATTCTTCTTTTATTGTTATCTTTTCGTATTATTTTCTGCGGGAGAATTAAATTTCGCAATTTCTCTGATTGGGGAGGATAAAAAATTCGATTCCTCGCTCTTATTGATATACTTTTTCTTATTATTTTCTGCGGGAGAATTAAATTCCGCAATTTCTCTGATGATTGGGGAGGCTTAATGCGCATCGAATATTTAAAGTGGAAAAAGCGACGCGAGAATGATGGATGGGGTGTCTTTGAGATTCCTGATGTCGAATATGTCTGAAATAGCGCGATGCATCGCAAAGTTGAGTGCATTTGATTTGTACGTGAAGGACGAGAGGAAATGCGCACCCGTCTTTTTCCCTCTCGAGCAGATATTGCTTCCCGAAATAACTTTTTCTATACTAATAATACTGGATGACGGTTTTGCAACTTGTATAAGTAGATACTACTGCTATATGTTAGCATTGATGCGCATAGCGACTCCAATTTGCAGTCCATAATATCAAGGCTTGAAGGAGATCAGCTAAAGATTGGAAAAGCGAGACATCGATTTTAAATTTTAGATTCTTCTCGAAAAAATATAAATTATTATTAATAGGATGAGAATATAAAAAGAGCATCTTCGAGATACTATTCTTTTAGAAGAAACTCGAAATTGCCCCCAAAAATTTGTAGTTTAAAGGAAATATATGTTTCTTATATTTATATAAAATATTTATATTATATGTAATTATATAATAATATTTTATATATAATACATTTATAAAACATTGTTTTACGAACATTCCAAAAAGGAAATGAATTACAGATCTTATGATTTTTATGATGAATTACATCTTATTTTCTTAAAAACAGTGTTTCATTGTTCGTAGAATCATTATATGAGTTCTTAATTTATTATATTTCTTATTTATATCTCTCAAATGAAAAAATCTGCTTGTGAAGCGTATCAAGATCCTTTGAAGAAGTTAAGAAATAAAATCGAAGAATTTATAAAATCGAATAATCGAATAATCAGGGTGTCTAGCGGTCAGAGAATTTTATAAATCCGGAATTGTTAGGGAAAAAGTCAGGAAAATTGGAAGTTTTTTATTAAATAAATCTAAACTTTTCCTTGACTCCCAGCACGCTAATTTTCTGTGTTGTCAAAAACCGATTCACTTACAGCGTGTTCGTTAATTTACAATATATTTTCATTCAATATAGTTCGTAGTGACATGTTTGTTTCGATTATCGTACACAATGCAGATTGTACAATTGATATAAATTTTTGTTTTTCTCACTTCCGAACCTTTTCATTGTTGACAGAAATATCTCAAGGATTTCATGATTCAACATTGAATTGATTTATCATATAGATACATGCAAATGATATAAAAAATAAATTTGAAAAATGTGAAAAAGTAAGAGAATTCTCATCTTCTCGTCTGCTGGATACCCTAATCTCGAGAATGAGACAAACAACTCTCCTCATATCGAAGCGGCGTTACAGAGAGGCCTTGTGCATAAGGAACTCGCTCCGAACCGAAACCCACGGCCCCGTAGGACCCCGTGAGTTCACGCAAGGTAACCTCGCGTGTGCGTCACCACATCCAACGTGTGCACAGTGCACACGCACACCGGGAAACGAGTTCCTCTCTCCTTCTCCGTTAAGTCGCTCGGCTGCCATCATCATCCTTCCTCTCTCTACCACCGCTACCTTATGCCACCGAAGAGGAGTGCTCTTTCAAACCGGCAGTTTCGTATGTTACACCGTGGCGTGTGCACGGTGGAGCATCAACGCGCTCCGTTACATCCTCTCTTCGAGGCAACGCGACGCGACGCTTTTTTCTCTCCTTGGATCCTACGTGCGATTCGATTTTCCTCCGGTGATTCCTCCGAGAGAGACAGACAGTGACCCGACGATGATGGAAGAACGCGCTAGTCTTGTTCCGAGCAGCTCGTGAATCCGAGAACGAGAGTAATTTCTCGTGAGCGCGAAACGAAAGTGAGTACTCCAAGTAGCCCCTTTTTCTTTCTTTCGAGCGCACTTTATTACTATTACGGTTTGCGCGATCGAGGGAAGGAAGGCAGAGAAATCTGGAATTTTTTCACTTTTTTTTTCTTTTTTATTTCATCTTTTTTATTTGCAATCAGTCATTCAGTCACCTGATAAATATAATTTATTATGTATTGTATTATATTTTATTATATATGTACATAGAAAGAAAAAGTATATTTTTTTAAGTTTATATAGACAAATATTGCTCTTATTGGAATTTAAAAAAGGCCAAAAGATGATGATAACTCTGTATTATATTTCATGTTTTGGCAAATAAGAATTGTTAAATATTTATCTTATGTTCGACGTATTTTCTCGATATTTAAAAATATCCTGAGAAAATTTTTTTTTTAGAATTTACCCTGAAAATTATGGTAATCTTGGGACAATAAGATATAAAATATGTATATATAATAATATTTTTTTATTGTGATAAATATTAATCAGAGAACTCTTATAAAAATTCTTCCAATACCATATTATCCCACGATTACCATGATTTTCAGACTGAATTCTAAGAGAAAATCCTCTTCGTGTATCTAAGAATGAAGTATAAAAGTGCTCCTTTCTATCTTCAAATATTTTCATAATTATTTTAATTGGCAAAGTTAAATTAAATATAGATAATTTTGTTTAAAATTAATAGTTTGTTTTTTTATTTTTCTTGATATTTAATAAGAAAAAAATTAATTTTGACTTTGATTATGAAATTTATCATTGCATATAAAATTCTGAGCTCACTGTTTTAATATCAAACGAGAAGAAATATATATGACTCGAGGATATAAGTGTATAAATTAGAATTTACATCATTGATATTCGCGTGAGTCACGAGAGAAGAAATCACAATCGGGTCCCGGGGTTTTATTAAGAAGAAACGCAAGGATCGTCGCAGATGTTAAAAGGGGACGAACCTTGAATACACGGATTCGCATATAAAGTCATTTTCAGCAAATTGGCCGAGCTGTTTACATTATGTCGTCGTGTGTCATCGTGATACATCGTTCGTTATACAATACGCAATTTCAATCATTCATATAGAGTGAGAGTACCATTCTGTTTCTCATTACAATCGCGTTTCACGTCAATTACTTCGTAACAACATTACGTTCAAGCAGAAGCTCCAATCAACTTGGCGCGAATTAATCAAATATTCATATCGCTATAATTTTGCGATAAGCCGACCTCCTCTCTCTTTCGATATTAAAATAAGCGCAAGATTATGTGATAAATTTTTAATTATTAATCCATTAAATTTTTTAAATAAATTAATCGCAAACAAAACTATTTATTTCATTTTATTTTATACCAATTAAAATAATGATTGAAACAATTTTATTTAGTCCTATTAAATTCAATAAGAATTCTATCAATAAAGTATATTATAAGAGAGTCGCTATAATTGCAACAACTATATAATTAATTATTTAATTAATAATAAATTAAACTAATTAATCAATGCAACATTTAATCATTTGTTATAATCTAATTTTGGGATATATAAATTAAGTGTTAACTTTAAAACTGAAAATTCCAGATTTCCTTTCGAATATATATTATGCTCGAATTATATATTTTGGAAGATACAATTGATAGAATACGTCACGAAAAGACTAAGAAATTACTCGATGAAATCGTTGTTCATTTTAAGCGAAGGTTCACGGTTTTTAATCGCTTTGATGAAGATGTCATTGGTCCGCCAAGGTCGGTTTTACATTGTCGAGTTACTGCATTTTAAGTACGATTCGAATATATCGAAGGACACTATCGATCGACGATATCAATAACGTTTTCGTTATTACGCTCATTTCTCTTGCATTATTTATACAATGGCAGATTTCTCAATCGCGATCAGCACAATTTTTCTTTTAATCGTAAAAATTTACAATATATAATATAATATTTTGTAAATTAATATTATTACACATTTATAAAAATGTTTTATCAAATTTATTCTTTTATATAGATTTGATAAAAAATATATATCTAATTTTTATTACAAATTATTTACTTAAATATTTTACAACTATTTATATACATATATAAATCAGTTTAATGCGGCGATTATCCTATCTGTATTTTTTCATTTTTTATTCGAGCATTTTTCGATTTTATCCAAATCGAGACGGATGAGGACGCGAAACTTTTTGCAATGGAAATTCCGCATAGATATTAGCTGATTTATATTTCTGGGAAGTGGCAGAAGGCAAAAACAACAGCGAGAACTCATTCGATCCATTATTGTTGGCTGGGGAGTATTCGTGGGATCTTCGGATCTCTTTCGAAGCTTATTAGGAGCACTCGAAAAGGAAATGAGAGAAAGCGGGCCTTCCTTTATTTTAAGACAAAGGCAGAAATCCTGATCCCCGAAAGTTGTGAAAGTGACGGTTAGACCGTTTCATGGCACGGTATATAACGTGAATAACATGAATGGGATATATAATAAGAAATATCTGCATATAAAAATATAAAGTGCATCTATATAAACTGAATGAGAAAAGTTGTATTTTTGTACCTTGTTATTTTTACATCTTTATACGTAATTTTTTTGTTATCTTATATATGTATATTTTATTATATTTTTCGTATCCTACATCTAGCGCTTAAACATCTCATTCCACATCATTAATCTAACTCAATTTTAATTTTCATGAGAAATGGGGAAAATTAATTGTATTTTTTACGAGAAAATTAATGAAGAAAATCGATATTAGTTAAACAGATACGTGTAAGAAATGGGAAATCATGGAAAAATAACATATCCATAAATCATAATTAATAGGACAGTCGTCAAAATAATTACAAATAATTGTAGGTAATAATCTTAAAAATAAAACGCAGCTAATCTATTTATTTATCAAACTAAAAGAAGTATAGTACACGAATAAAGATCGTATATCAAGCTTGTCTGCTTCTAGTACGCAATATAAATAAAATTCATAGAAAGACATTATTTATAGAAGAATTATTAATTTGTTTCACGACCCCGTTTAATTATACATTTTATTTTTTACGAGAAATTTAATGGAAAAATAAAATATCCATAAATCCATAAAATATCCATAAATCATAATTAATAGGACAGTCGTCCAAATAATTCCAAATAATTGTAAATATAATAATGTTAAAAACAAAACGCAGCTAATCTATTTATTTATCAAACTAAAAAAAAATTAATTATATATAATGTTAAGCTTGTTGCTCCTAATGCAATATAAATAAAATAAAAAATTCCTAGAAAGACATAATTGATAGAAGAATGATTAATTTGTTTCACGACTCGTTAACTATACATAAAATCGACATTAATGCAATTAATAGAGAGAAAAAGGGAGCGAATAGTTTCGCTTTCGATCGCGCAAACGCGCGAGGCTTGTTATCGCCATTACTGCTATAGAGATCGCGTATCTCCCGCGGTATCGTCGCATACATCATTGCGAAAACTGGCACGCAAGTAATTGTACCGAGACCGGAGAGAAGAAACGTGGGCAGGGCCCACGAGTGCGTTTGTCTGTTTCCCAGAAAGTGCGTGTTTATAGCGGCATGAGATCGCAGAGAGCACAGCTCCGGATAGAGAACCGGAACGGATGCGTTCGGGGAGGAAGAGAAGGGGTGAAAGAAACGAGAGTTCCATTTCTCCCGGGATTAAATTGATTCATCGCATGATGGAGGCCAATCTTGTATATCAACTTTACGGTTCTTGTTTGTTTCGTTCTCCGTTTTAATGAAATTGCTTACGAAATTGTTGATTAAGCGATTATAATGATTCGTTTGACACGGTGTTGATGATAGTTGCGAATAAAACGCCCGAGAAAATCAAACATCGTTAAGCTATATTCATTTTTTACCTTTTCTGACAAATATATTTTGTCGGATAATTAAACTTGAATTTTTAAAAAATTGTTGACAAGAAAACGAAAACACGTGGGTAACTAATGTCATCTGGGCGACATGCTGTCATTCATTTTTCGAAAACGAACAAAAATATAAAGACGTATATTATGAGCATATTATTTATTCAAATACATTTATTAATAATTAAACTTAAATTTTTTAAAAATTGTTGACACAAGGAAAATGAAGACATGTGGGTAACTAATGTCACCTGGGCAACATCTGTCGTCCATTTTTAGAAAAATGAATTAACACCTGCTTGTATTATCATCAATGATATAAAAAATTGTAATAATGAAACTATTATTATTATTAATATTATTAAATATTATTATTATATATAATATTATATTTTATATATATATATAATATTATAATTGAAGAATGTTATAATATTGTATATCGCGCAGAATCACGTTGTTACTCTGATAATAGATAAAACTCATTATGACTTTTATAATTACATGATATAATAAAAATTAAAAATCATAAATGAAAAGAGAAAGAATTATATAAAAGCTAGCAAGATGAAATAAAAATTTAAAAATTTCATGTTTTCTTTAACGTGCGCTACAAATCTTACAATTAGTAAGGTAAATACTTTCTAAGAAAATAAGTTTTTTAATTTCTCGCAAGCACCTTCTCGCTCGCCACGTGTATTTGACTCAGCGATTTTTTTTTCATGCTCTGTCACACTTTATACACACATAATAATCGCGTTTATCCGCCCTGACATTTCACGGTTCGCGAATTTACATCTCGGTGGAACGGTTCGTTAATTAACGGATTGCATAATGACAGAAATGGCACGAAAAATCCCGTTATCCCTACAATATTGAGATAAATCTCGTCTAAAATTGAAAATCGAGCCAACACCTGTCGCTTCGGGACTTTTATGACACGTTTTCCGTCCGGATAATTAAAAACTTGGGCCGACTGACGTAAGCGTCGCGGATTAAATTTCTGTCTCGATATCGAAATCGTATTACGATCGATAATAACAAACGGACTTACGTCGAAAAATTATTTATGCATCAGCAATTCCGAGCGTT